ACACACACACACACACACACACACACACACACACACACACACACACACACACACACACACACACACACCCTCACACACTCCTACATGTCTCTTTCTAGTCTTCTTAGACCAGAAATCTTGTCCTCTCTACATACTCTGCAATCCACTGACACAGGCCTCATTGCTGTTCCCCTTGATTCTACTGTCTTCCCTCTGCTGATTATTTCAAATTTATCTTGTCTGTTCACAGTCGTTTTCATGTTGTCTCCTCCACCTGACTGTGATCTCCTTGAGGGCAGGGACTGTCTTTTGCTTTTCTTTGTATTACCAGCAAATTAGCAAAGGCCTTAGTCCATAGTAAGCATTTTCTATATATATATATACACTTGTTGACTAAATGACTGACATGTACTAGCCGTGTGACCCAGAGTCAATCGTTTAATCTCTTATTGTTTTAAACAGCTCTCTAATGACCTTCACTGTAGAGGGAGTTTCTTCATTTGGGATTTTCCTATCCCAATGAAATCACAGGCACAATCCTCATCCATATTTGACTGTTAGAACAATTTTCCTTACCTCAACAAATCTGGGTAATGCTTTTTATTTTTCAAGGGACATATTGGCTTATTTTGCCCCAATTTCTTTTGGGTTACACCAGTGTCTGAAAATGTTTTGGTCTCAGAACCCCTTTATACTCTTAAAAATTATTGAGGATCCCTCAAAGAGCTTTTATTTATGTAGGTTATATTTATCAACATTTATTGCATTAGAAATTAAAACATCTTAATACTATTATGAAAATATTATTTTGTCCCAATTTTGAAAAGAAGAAAAAGGATGGATTCTGCAAACTGTAGGCTAGTAAGTTTGACTTGGATTCCTATGAAATTCTGGAAGGAATGATTCAAGACAGGGTAAGTGAAACTCTGGGTAAAGAGAATACAAAAGAAACAGTATGGCTTCATTAAGGACAGATCATCCTAAACTAACCTTGTTTCCATTTTTTGATGGGATTACTAAACTAGTAGATGAGGGAAATGTAATTGACATAATTTGCACTTTTATTTTAGAAAAGTGATAAAATAGATCTATGATTGACCCCATGTTGTTTCACATTCTTATCAATGACTTGGTTAAAGGTATAGATAGCATACTTATCAAATTTTCCGGTGACCCCAAAGTCAGGAGGCATAGCTAACTAACAAGATGGATGACATCCAGGTTCCAAAAAGATCTTGACAAGCTAGAAAATTAGATGAAATGTAATAGACATAAAAGTAAATTTAGTCTGGCACATGGGTTTGAGAAATTAACTTCAACTAATCTATTTGAGAAATCAGTTTCCAAGATGTGGGAGACCTGGTTAGATAGCAGTTTGTTTGGAAAAGATCTGGGAGTGTTACAATTTCCCTGGTCTGTGGGGGGATTGGAATCTCTCCAGGAAGTGTCTCCCCTGGTCCCTGGGGACGTTGTTGGTGCGCTACTGGGGTGGGGAGTGGAGCAGGGGGCATTCGGAAGAACTAGAAGGAGAGCGCCAGGGTGGAGCTGTGAAGCACAGAATAATTGAACCTGGGTACTACCTCCCTACAACGCTGCAAAATGAAAGCAATAGGACTTTTTCTAGTCTCTAATACGCCCCTGTGGAAACATAGGAGGCATTTCAAAAGTTGTGAACATTGCAAAATGGCCTCAGAAGACGTGGACTGGTTACAAGATCTACTCAGGTATGGCCAGAACTTCAGGCCAGAAGGGACTCTCAAACAAACAATACAGCTGCTAAAAAAATATTCCGAAACAATCATGGACAGCTGACTTCTCCACAGATTTCCTCCTTTACCCTGCATCCATACCCAAAGAGGTCATCCTCTGGAGCAAGTGTTAACAAATTCCCAGACTGGACTGATCAGCACCAGGTGCTTCCCAAGAAAACATACCAGTGAGGCCTACTGTGATGAATTCTGAAACGTGATACAAATTCACAGTATCTCAAATGGAGAAGTCTCTATCTACTTACCAGAGACATTTGACAGAGGCCAACATGGAGGAGATCTTGAAGTCTATGACATTATCACAGTTACAGAAAATGCTTAGCCTGGACTTCCTGGAGGAAGTTTTGGACCTTGTCAACTCAAAGTTTATCATCCACAAGATATACAGTGTTGGTAAGCAAGGAGTTGTCAATCTCACGGATAAATCCAAAGAATTTCTTGCTTGGGTACTATCAGCCATGACATGCTTAGCAAATTGGCCTAGTTGTTCAGACTTGAAGCAGCCCATGTATTCAGGTTTGAAAAAGATGTCTTTAAAACTACAGTAGATTATTACTATGTCACTTGAAGGAACATCTGCTCACATTTCATCTTTTTGAAGCCTTTGTCAGTTAACTAGATTTGTTACAGAAACACAAAATTGTTACTGAAGCATTTCAGATTTGCTGTCTCATCCTGCCTCCTGAAAATCAGAGAAAGTTACAATTGTTGATGAGGATGATGTTGAAGATCTGCTTAAACAAGAAGATGCCACTGTTGGATGATGGCCTTGGCACCCATGGCCTTGGTACCCATACTCTGATGGTTCAGACTTTTTCACATTGCATCTTGTGCTTCAAGGATGAAGTAGATTTAGATGACCTGTTAGCTGCCAGGCTAGTGACATTTCTGATGGACAATCTTCAGGAGATCTTAAAGTTCTCTCCTCCATGAAGACTTTGATAGAGGAGCAAGTAGTGCATCTAAAAGGGTCCAGACAAAGTACCCGGGAACAGATACTGATACAACTGTTTGCAGATTAGTCCAGAAGAATTTTAATACTAAACCCCTGGCAATATCATTGGAGGAAATTATCATGGATACCAAACAATCAGTGAAAGATAAAATGAAAAAACAACAACAACAACAACAACAACAACAAAACTGAAGGAGTTTCAGAAATCCTATCCTGTAGTCTACTAAGAGTGATTTCCCACACCAGAAAGTGAAGCACTGGTATTTTCAGAAAAATCAAAACTGAAACCACAGCTGCTGATGTGAGCTCTGAAAAAGCTGTTTCATCCTTTTCAAAGAGCTAGAAAATTTTGAATATAACTGATTCTAAAGTTATTAGTGATCTCTTTTCAAGTGCATGGATTTGGGGGGAGGGGAAGCATGTATATTTTGACTATTGAAATGTATAAAAAAGGTTACCTGAATTTTTTAAAACTGTTGAGCCATTATCAGTGTTTTTATAAGGTCTTTGTTTTTTTTTTGGTGTACACTTGGATTTACAATTATAAATCAAGCATTTTGAGGTAGAATGAAATTGGAAAATTTAAGAGCGAGGTGTTTTAGTTCCCTTAAAAAAAAAAAAGACCTGGACTATATGATCAATATGAGTCAACAGTGTGATATGGCAGCCAAAAAAATCTAATGGGACCTCAAGAAAGGATCAGATTGCTGGTTTGACATAATCTGCTTGGTCAGACAATATCTAGAATATTCATAGGCATCCACAGGATCTCTTATTAGGGTATGTACCCTGGGAATTTTTTAAAAATGTGAACATTTATTGAATACTCATTTAATAAGGAGCATGTTTAGTCATCAAACTAAAGAAACCAAAACTTAACTAACTTGTTTTAAAAGAATTAACAACTAAACTTGTACTTGAAACAGTAACATTTTGTAAAGGGCTACTTTTAATTACACCCTTATCCTTAATACGAATATCCCAATACTGAACAATCTTTTAAACCTTACTTTTTTTTTGTTTTGTTTTGTAAGGCAATTGAGGTTAAGTGACTTGCCTAGGATCACATAGCTAGTAAGTGTCAAGTGTCTGGTCTAAGACCAGATTTGAACTCAGGTCCTCCTGCCTTCAGAGCCAGTGCTTTATCCACTGCACCACCTAGCTGCCCCAAGCCTTACTTTTTCGGCTAAAAAATCTTTCCATCTAGATCAAAGGTTCCCAAACTTATTTGGCCTACCACCCCCTTTAAAAAAAAAAATTACTCAGCACTCCCCCACCTCCAGAAATCTATTTTCTTTAACACTCTAATGTTTTTTTTAATTCGCATAATTTCAAAAAAAAATTTTTTTTAAAAACTGACACATCTTAAATTTAATACTTTTTTGTAAATTTGTGTTTTTCCTGCATTGAAATTTTGATGACACGATATTTTATCATGTAACTATATAGTATTGTATTATAAACAAGTTATTACATGCAAATATTCCTGATGATGCATGCTGGACTTCCAGACAATTTGAAACACACTCACCTGCCAACACTTGCTTGTTAAGACCTGTTGGTGGACTTGATCACTGGTAGGTTATAACTTGTGTTTTGTGTGTTTATTTGGAAAACAATGTAATCACTATGATTTTAACCCTGT